AATTTAGAATCATCTTCCTTTCTCAGAAGGTAGGCCCCCCCCCACACACACACACAGTATCTGTGAACACCAGCCAACAGTTCCTTTCTGAAAAGAGAACTTGTTAAAAATAGCACTGGGCTTGTTTTCATTCTTCCTCTTCCCTTTATCTGTAATGTTCTCTCACACACACACACACACACACACACACACACACACACACATTGTTCAGACAGGGCCTCTGTACCTCAGACTGGCCTTGAACACACAGCTATCTTCCTGCCACAGCCTCCCAGATACAGGGATTAGAGGCATGAACAGATCATCTCTGAACTCCTCTCACAGGCAGTTGAATTTACAGTGTCAGCTCTGACTTAGAAGAACTCTGAATCTTGGTTAGAGATGGCTCAGTGGTTCAGAGAACTTCCTAAACCGGTGCCATGGCGCATGTCTTTAAACCCAGCAGTCGGGAGGCAGGGGCAGGAGGATCTGTGAGTTCCAGGCTAGTCTAGTCTAAGAGGGAAATCCAGGACAGCCAGGACTACACAGAGAACCCTGTCTCGAGAACAAAAACAAAACAGAGCACTTCCCAGTCTCCCCTCTGACTGGAGTCAGGCTCCTACAACATGTTGCCTCAGAAGGGCCCACAACCTCCTGTGACTCCAGTCCCAGGGGGTCTGTACTGCCCTTCTGACCTCGGTGGGCACTAACACACATGTGGTATACACATGCACATAAAAATCAATCTTAAAAAGATAAAAATGAAACCTATCCATGTGCTTACTCAAAGACAACCACACACCAACTACTAAACATTTAAAATATATTTCTCAACAAAATGGGCGACTCAGTCGTGGTAACTGCTGACCTCCAGAGCACAGCAGCCCACAAGGATGCAGCACTGATTTCTGTCCCATAATCGGGTGAAAAACATACAACTTGTTTCTGTTCCAAAGCCACAACCTCTACCTCTGCAGTCTAAAACAGTTCACTGCTAGTGCGGTGGCCCTGGCTGAAATTATATATTTCCTTAAAAAAGAAAAAAGAAAGAAAGAAAGAAATTAAAAAATTTCCTAAGACGCTAAATTATCAATCTGGAATGTAGATTCTGAGCACGGAGCAGCTCAGCGCATCTAAAAAAATGGAGAAGCTTCCCCCACCGTCCTCAGTAAGGCCTGAAAGGAGGGAAGTAGTGTGGAGAGCCCCGACTTTGGTACGGAGAGTCACGGCCCCTGGACCCGGACCGGGACCGGGAGTAGCCGTAGCTGGTGCTTCTCTCAGGATAGACTCGGATGTAGGAAGTTTCACCCTGAGATTGGAACAACAGAAAAGGGAGACGGGTCAGAACAGTAAGCGAAGCCGACCTCTAACCTGGCTGTCTAAGATGCTGGGATGTTATTCAACTCTGACAATGTTATTTGGAGGTAGGTACCCTTACTCTCCCATTTCAAAAAGGAAGAAAATCAAGGTAAACAAATGCATACTTCTCCCTGCTGTGACTTTGTGGGACTCAGGAATAGCAAACACTCCCTTTATTTAAAAAAAAAAAAAATTATTTATATGTATTGGTGTTTTGCTTGCATGTGTGTCTGTATGAGGGTGTCATACGGGTATCCTGGAACTGGAGTTTCAGACAGTTGTGAGCTGCCATGTAGGTGCTGGAAGAGCAGCCAGTGCTCTTAACAGCTGAGCCATCTCTCCAACCCCTGTAGATAGATCTTTAATGGTACTGGGAAGTCATCCAATGGCAAAGGCCATGACCTGTTGCTACGATTGCTAAATTAGACCTACTAGAAGGTAAGAACCCACCTCATGAGAGCGGAATTTTGTGTCATCCAGTTTACGCAGAGCGTATTCCATGTCTTCTTTTCTCAGATATTCAACCATCCCCATTCCATCCTTTTGTACATCTGCATAACAGACATCCCCAGCTTCGCGCATGTGATCTTTCAGGTCCTGCCAGCTGCCTGATGGAGGAAGTCCTGGGCACAAAGAACGTAAGAGAAGAACCACATCCTTCAGCCACGTTAACTGCCCTGTTGAGAACCAGCAATACCTATGGTGGTCTAGACTCTGTGGATCACTTTATTCTTAAGGGTTCCCAAGTCACAAACCCAGAGAAATATACATAAGTACATATAGAAAACCACCATGAGCAGCTAGCTAGTCTAGTTAACTGTCCAGACACCAAAGTTTCCCAACAAAGCATCCTGTTACAGGCTTACGACCTCTGAGAATTTACCACTCTGTCCTTCACAATCAATGTGGCACTCCCAAAACTGAGTTCCGTTTTTTTCATTATGAAATTTATTAGTACCAAGTATTTCTTGGGAACTTACTTTCCCGAGACATGGGAATTTTGAAACAAACCAAGTGTAGCTGAGGGAACAGCACAACAAAAAAATCAAAGTTTGTTTTCTCTTAGCGTGAACGGTTGACAGAGCACAGAGTACCTCGTAAGAGATCACCAACATTCCTCACTACAGTTGGGGAAAGTCACACTCAGACGCTAAAGCTAGCTGGGAGTCACACAACCCTACCTGGTGTCATGAAAGGGGAATGTGCTCCTGCTCTCAAAGGCTGTGTTTACCGCTCACAGCTCAGGACTGCAGCCATTTCCTAATAGTTTTCTAAGCAGGATTTCAGAGCAGCATGGAGAGAAAAAAAGATAATGTATGACATCTTGAAGGAGGGAATAGAGTCCTAGGGTTAAAAAATTACAAAGGGATACAAGATAGACAGACACCATCACTCACGCACTACTGTGATCGTGGGACATTCACACTTTTAAAGGCGCCAGGCTCAATACATTTCACTCCACCAGGGCCCCCAAACTCCCTGTAATGTGCAGAAGGCCCCCAGGTCTTCACACCGCATTGGCATTTCAAAGACATAAACTTCCGAGCTTAGCATTTCGTCCATCATTCATTGACACCAGTTACAAATGTTCTACACCTTCCAATACAATCCCCAAGATTCTTAGATGTTTGAATCTGGCCCCGTGATGTCTATAAAACCAGACATCAAGGAACATTCCCAAAGGAAAACATTTTTAGTACTCTAGGTCAAAGGTCTTGATGTCATCTTGTCCTTTCAGCAATAAGAAACCACTTTATAAGAAACATGTTTGTCAGGCGGTGGTAGTGCGCCCCTTTAATCCCAGCTCGGGAGGCAGAGGCAGGTGGGGCTCTGTGAGGCCAGCCTGGTCGGCACAGCGAGTTCCAGGACAGTCAAAACTACATAGGGACCTTGTGTGAATGAACAAACAAAAAAGAAACAAGTTTCTGTACCACAAGGCCGTATTACTTGTACAGTTTCATTTGTACAGTACCTGCCTCCCTGAAAACCTAGAGCAAAGCTTCAGACGGTCCCTGTGCACTGGCTACTAAAAAGCCGACATACACCACACACTGACTAACAGCTCGTGTTCCTTAGCGGCCAGACTCGGAGGTAGCACACACGCAGCGTCTCATTCAATGTGGTGAGAACATACCTGAAACAAGAACTCGGAAGTCAGATCGTCTTGTAGGAGGCCCATTCCTTGCACCACGGGGCCACCCACCCCGACCTCCGAAAGTCCTGGGGAATTCCACACGAAGTCGACACTGGCCATAATCGTAACCATTTCTTCCATAAATTGCATCCTCAGCATCTCTGCAAAGCAAAGCTTGAAATCAGTGCTGTCCAATAGGCTGAGTGACTTCCCAGTGAAGGCAGGAGTAATTAAGAGGGAAGTCGGCCTGAGGGAACAGGAAGATGGGCACCAAACAAAACCTTGATGGACTTCTACTGTAGTTGAGGGCATTTTCACATTCCTCATAAGCTTTACAGCCGGGCCAGTAAGAGGGCTCAGCTGTGGCATGCACACATTCTGAAGTGCAAAATACTTACTCAGAAACTGAAAAGATTAAACTATACAGTTAATGAAGGGGTTGAATATGAGCAAAAAATGTGATATGTATGTGTGAAGGCATCATAACAGAACTCATAATTCTGAATGCACATACTGAAAACACTACAGTCGTCAAGCACATGGTATTCTAAGGATGAAAAGTGGAGAGATAGTCAGGGGTGACGGCGCATGTCTTTAATCCCAGCCCTCGGGAGGCAGAGACAGTGGATCTCGGTAAGTTCAAGGCCAGTCTGATCCACAAAGTGAGTTCCAGAACAGCCAGGGCTACACAGAGAAACCCTGTCTCAAAAAAATAAACAAAAAAAAAAAATTGTTGATGGATAACTGATTCTCAATCTGTGAGTTAGACCCCTTAGACAAACTTCTGTCTCCAAAAATACTTACATTATGATTCATAACAGTAGCAAAATTACAGTTATGAAGTAGCAATGAAAATAATTTTTATGGTTGGGGATCACCACAACATGAGGAACTCTGTTAAAGGGTCACAGTGTTAGGAAGGTTGGGAACCACTGCTCTAAAGGTTTATCCCACATTAGGCCCCGTAATAGTTTTCCAAAAGGCCTAAAGCTTATAGACATAAAGACATCAAGCTTATAGGGAGGGCGCATTAAAAAGTTTAAAAAGGTGATGGTGGTGCCTTTAATCCCAGCACTGGGGAGGCAGAGGCAGGTGGACCTCTGTGAGTTTGAGGCCAGCCTGGTCTAAAAATGGGGTTCCAGGACAGCCAGAGCTGTTACACAGAGGCGCTCTGTCTTCAAAACAAAACAAAAAAGTTTTAAAAGGCCAGGTGTGGTGGTACACACCCTTACTCCCAACACTGGGGAGGCTGAGGCAGGAAATTCTGAGACCAGCCTGGTATACAAAAAAATACTGTCTCACAAAGTCAATACAAACATAAATGAGAGACAAATGTGGATCTGAGGATGCTGGTCCCAGCTCTCACATGGTGGCTCACAACATCAGTAACTCCAGTTCCAGGGCATCCAACAATTTCTCCTGACTTCCTCGGACAACAGGCATGCATGCGGAGCAGATACATGCAGGTAAGACGCACATAAATAAATCCTTTTTAAAAGATAAGTGAGGGCTGGGTACGATGACTCACATCTTCAATACCAGCAATGGGAGCCAGAGGCAGGCAGATGTCTGAGTTTGAGGCCAACGTGGTCTACCAAAGTTTCAGGCCAGTCAGAGCTATAGGGTAAGGCCCTGTCTAAAGCAAACAAACAAAACAGCATCTAGGAATACATCCAGGACAACGCTGACTGCCAGAATGTGTTTCTAACGGAGTCTGGGAAGGGGCAGGCATATAAAGGATTAAAATCGAATTTGTATGTCAAGTCCTTGAGTTAAACTTTTCATACCTCTAAATTGAGAAGTAAGTCTATCTCAGTGGGTTATCAAAAGGTCTAAGATGCAATATTTTAAGTGCTTTGCTTGAAATTTCTCAATTAGAGCAGAATATAATTCTTCTGTTAAGACTAAAGGAAAACCATGACCATGTAACAACACACAGTACCTGTTAAGTCATGACGAGATTCCAATTCTACCTAGATCCGTTATGAAACATCAAGTGTTAGCCCCTTACCAAACTCTTGCATTAACCAACCCGAAATTTCCTCATCTGTGAAATACGGTCAACAATATCTGCCTCATGGGTTGCTGGAAATGCCAACTGCACAGCATGGCACTCGACACAGAGTGACTTCAAAGTACACGATGGCACTGTTACCTAGTTAAATAAGAGCCCTAACTTTCTCACGGTCATATGTAAAAATGCTTCAGTCTACTCTGGAGGCAAAAGGCAAGACACTTAGGAATAAGCTCTGTTAAGTCTTCACCCCTCGAAGTCCAGGGTACTTCTCCTTGGCAATCCGTATCTCCAACCCAGGCCGGCCGAGGGCGGGTAAGCAGGCAGAGATGATGCCTTCCTCCCCGCGATGCTGAGAAGGCAGGAACAGGCCCTTATCGACCCTCCCAGTGACGTGACCTCGGTAGCGCTGCGACTTCTAAAGCGCACTGCAAAGGTCCTGGGCTTCTAACGTCTGCAAAACCACAGCCCCCCAACCGAGCGCGGATTTGGGGACCTAGCTTTTTCCTCAACGCTGGTACCGGCAACTTCTGGCGGGGATCCCCCATCAGAGGGGGGTGAAATCGCTATTGTCGCCGCCCTCCCCCGCTGCTTTAATCCGATTCTTTTTACAAGGACGAGGCTCGGCGGGGAGCCCGGGTGGGGATCGGCTGCAGACACCCCCTTCACAGCCGCCCAAGGCAACCTGTCCCCGCCGTCTCTTCTCCCGCAACGGCGAGGGCCCCGGGGGCGGGGTGGGCGACCGCCCACTCCGCCAAGTCCTCTGCAGAGCCGGTTCGGGAACCCGAGGCTTCGAAGCCCCGGGCCGCTCCCCCTTGGGGCTGGAGGGGGGAGTGCCCCCCGGTTAGGGTGCCTACCCGGCCTCGAGGGCAAGAGTCTGGCGGGTTCGGGCCCCCCGGAGCCCATCTGGGTTTTTTTTTTTAAACACTAACGAAGGAAGTGACAACCGGGGACGCTCGGGGGAAAAGACGTCGCGGCCGCCGGCGCCGCCGCCGCCTCCAGCGGGGGGTGGGGGGTGGGGTGGGGGTGGGGTGGGGTCGCCGGGAGGGGTCGGCGCGGTGGGGAGGGGGAAGGGAGGGCGCCGGGCTGCAGGCGGGCGAGCCGCGGGGGGTCCTCACCGCGGGTCCTCGAAGCGCACGAAGGCGAAGGGCACGAGGCCGTGCCGGTTCTTGATCTCGATCTCGCGGATGCGGCCGTACTTGTAAAACAGGTCCTCCAGGTCCTTCTCCCGCACGTCGGTCGGAAGGTTCCCCACGTAGATGCGGCCGTCGCCCTCGCCGCCGCGCTCGTCCGCCCAGCCCGACATCCGCGCCGCCCCGCCGCCGCCGCGGGCCCGCCGCAGCCCACTTCCCGCCTCCTCCTCCTCCGCTTCCTCGGCCGCCGCCGCCGCCGCCGCCTCGGCCCGGATCCCCGCCGCAGCTCCCCCCGCGGGCTCCGAGGCGCTCAGCCGCGCTGCATTGTGGGAACGCAGCGCCGAGAGCCGTGGGGTCGGAGGAGACTAAAGGAATCTTAAAGGGGAAGCGGCCGCGAGCTGCGCGTGCGCGTGCGCGTGAGCGGGGCGGGGGGTGGGGGGGACCCGGTGCTCCTAGAGGTGCCCGTGGGGCGTCGCGGGGAGCGAGCGAGCGAGCCCCGAGCGCCGCCTAGGCTCGCAGGGCTGCGGGTACACCCACCGAGCCCGGCCGGGCGCCTGACCCCGCACGCAAGTCCCCAGACTGCCCCACCCCGCGCTGGGCCGGCGTGGCCCCCAGGGCTCAGGTCGGTAGCCCTTGGCTTAGACCTGGGGTGTCAGCCGGAGGTGGTCGCCAGAGCCTGGCTGTCAGAGTTTCTGGAGAGGCGAGCATGGTGGTGGTGCACGCCATTCATTCCAGCACTCCGTGTGGGGGCAGAGGAGGAGAAGTGTGAGTTCAAGGCCAGCCTGGTCTATGCAGAAAGTTCCAGGTCAGCCAAAGCTCTTTTTGCAACCCTGTCTCAAAGGGGGGGAAAAAAAAGAAGTGGAGGATAAGAGTGTAAAAGACTCTCTAATACCAAACATTTCATAATATCACCCAGACCATCACTGTGGAGTTTGGCTATTTGTGCGTTCTGGGCTATAATAGTGAGTTTGAGAACAACCTCAAAAATAAGACAAAGCTGGGAGTGGCGGTACCTGCCGGTACTCTCACACTTGGAATGCTGAAGTGAGAGACTCGAAAATTGTAGGCTAGCCTGGGCTACATACTGAGAGCCTGCCTTGGAAGACTATCCAGACCTAGGCGGCTGGAGGGATCTGATCAGGTAAAGGCAGCAGAATGTCAGCTGTAACTCCAGGCAGTGAGTGTGTTCACTGAGCCATTGTCTCAGCTGTTGTTCCCGTAGTCACATTTTGGGGATCCTGATAACTGGAGGCTGAGGTTCAAGCATTGAGTGTTAGGAGTCTAGCCTGGGCTACACCATAAAACAATAATATCTCCTAAAAACAGCCCTTAAATTATGTATGTTTATGTTTATCCTTGTATTCTGTACAATTAAAAAAAAGTTCTGAGGGCTGGAGAGGTGTCTCAGTGGTTAAGAGCACTGACTGCTCTTGCAGGAGGACCCGGGTTCAATTCCCAGCACCCACATAGCAGCTCATAACTGTCTGTAGCTCCAATTTCAGGGGATCTGCCACCTTCCCAGACATACATGAAGGCAAAATACCAATGCACATAAAATAAAAATAAATTTGAAAAAAAAAGTTCTGGATGCTGGGCATGGATGGTGCATGCCTTTAGTCCCAGCACTCAGGAGGCAGACAGGTGGATCTCTGAGTTCAGCCTAGTCTACACAGTGAGTTCCAGGATAGCGAGAGATGCACAAAGAAGCCTTGTCTCGAAAAACAAAAATAATAATAATAATAATAATTAATTGAAAAATGAAAACTTCTGGGCTGGAGACTTGGTGGGTGGAGGCGCCTGCTGCCAAGTCTGACAGTTTGAGTTTGATCCACAGGACCCACATGGTGGAAAGAGAAGACCAACCAGTTGTCTCCTGACCTACACATGGGCACTGAGGCAGTCACACATCCACACACCAAAAGACATTACAAGTGAAAGAAGAAAACGATCCTAAAGCTGTTTCCAGGAGGAGGTACTAGCTGTAGACCTGAAGGACGGGGAGGAATTAGGCAGGAAGGTCAGCAGGTGTGAAGGGAAAGGGCAGCTGGGGCTGAGATGCCATAAGCCAGTCACAGGATTCGGAATTTGGGTTCTGCCAAGGGCACTGCCGTTAAAGGTGTGTGTGTGTGTACACGCACATGGAGAGCGAGGTTGAAGTTGGGTGTCTTCTTCAGTCTGCATCTGTCATGTGTTTTGAGACAGGGTCTCTCACTGAACCTGGAGCTCGTTGATTTGGCCACACTAGCTGGCCAGTGAGCTCTAGGGATTGCTTTCTCTCCACCCTCATCTCCCAGTGCTGGGACTCAAACCCAGGTCCTCTGCGAGAGCAGCTAGTGCTCTTAAAAACTGAGCCACCCCCCCAGCCCCAGAGGTTTTTGTCTGGTTTTGTTCTTTAATACTAGGATTGTTTTAATATTAGGGATTGAACCTAGGGCCTTGTACTGCTAGACAAGTGCTCGGCCACTGTACTATACCAACAACCCTCTTTGTTTTTATTTTTACAAGTATTTATTTTGTGGTGAGAGGGTCACGTGTGCATGCGCACACGTGGAGGTCAGAGGACAACTTCGGGCAGTTGATTCTCTTCTTCTGCCACATAGGTCCCAAAGATCAAACTCAGGCCATCAGCACCTTGGCCCTTGCTGAACCATTTTTTTCTGGACAACCCCCCCCCCCCCCCCCGCCATCATTTCCTTTTTTGTTTGTTTGTTTTTCGAGACAGGGTTTCTCTGTTTAGTTTTGGTGCCTGTCCTGGAACTCCCTCTGTAGCCCAGGCTGGCCTCGAACTCACAGAGACCCGCCTGCCTCTGCCTCCCGAGTGCTGGGATTAAAGATGTGTGCCACCACCGCCCAGCCTATCATTTACTTTTTATTTTGAGACAATGTCTCACTAAGTTGCTCAGGCTACCCTAGAACCTGGGACCCTCCCATGTCAGCCTCCCAAGAAGCTGGAAAGATGACCTGTGACACCATGACTGGCTAAGAGGGCTCAGAGACAGGAAATGGTAGGAGTTCAAAATGGCCCAGGGATGAGGGCTGGTGAAGGAAAAGTCTGGGATCAGGTTCCTGGCTTGGAGAATTTGTTGGTCAGTGGTGTCATTGTAAGGTAGAACTGGTCCGCAGAAAAAGGAGCTAGTCTGAGAGGCATGGATGATGTGGAATTCGGGAACATGGAGGACATAAGAAAGGAAAGCTAGAACGCAGAAGGACTGTAGGCAATGTGTGCCCTCTAACTGAAGACAGAATTCTATAACAGGACCTAATGACAGTGGATAGGCGTTCCTCAGATGATTCAGACAGACTGTCCTTCACGCAGGGAATTTATGGAAGCATCAGGTGTGGTGGCACAGGCCTGTAATCCCAGCCATTGGGAGGTAGAGGCAGGAGGATCAGGAATTCTGAGTTACTCTAAGCTACGTAGTGAGTTGAATGTAGCTTGGTGTATGTGAGACCCTGTCTCAAAAAACAACAGACGACAACATTCTGTGTGTGTGTGAAAGTCTGATCAATATTCATCTTTGATGTATTATAATAAGAAAGATGCCATAGTTGAGGCACAAGCCTGTAATCCCAGCACTCAGGATGCTAAAGCAAGAAGAGCTCTAATTTGAGGCCAACTTGGACCACATAGCCAATTCCAGAAGATTGCTAACTTGAGGCCAACATAGCCAATTCCAGGCCCACTGAGATCTAGTCTGAAAACAAAACAAAACAAAAAACCAAAAAAAACCAACCAAACAAACAAAGAACAAGTGGTTGGTGGATGTAGCTTAGCTGGTAGATCATTTGCCTCGCATTCAGGAACCCGGGTTCGGTCCCTAACATGGCATTCACTAGGTGTGGCACACTCCTGCCGTCCCAGCATGTGGCAGGATCAGAATCTCAAAGTCATGCTCAGCTAAGTAGCTACTTGGAGCCCTGCTCAGGATACATGAGATCCTGTCTCCAAACAGGGTTGGGGAGGCCGCCCAAGTGAGTAAAGTGCTTGCCACAAAAGCCTGACCCGACCTGAGCTGAGATACCCGGGATCCATGAACAAGCCAGGTAGAGAATCCCTGGAGCTTGCTGAGCTGCCAGTCTTAACCAACTAACTGATGAGCTAGTTGGTTAAAAAAAAAAAAAAAAAAAAAAACCTGACGGAGGACCTAGGGAGGTAACTGAGACGGCACAGCGTATATCTAGCCTATCCGAGGTCCTGGGTGTAAGCCCCAGTACCACAGAAACCAGGTGTGGTGTCTCAAACCTGTCATCTCTGGAGATGAGGACAAGGTGGTCAGAGGTTTAAGGTCATCCTCCAGGCCAGGCTGGCCCATGTGATCCCCTGGAGAGAGGAGGGTGCACCCAGGTGCACTCGTGCGCGCGCGCACACACACACACACACACACACACACAGTAGATACCAATGGGCTTGTCCTCAGACTGAAACATTTCTTGACCTTCACAGACTGTGAGGAGTTAAATGTACTGAGCTGGGCATAATGTTGAGTGACTATAATCCCAGTATTTAGGAAGCTGAGGCAAGAGGAGCTTGGGTTTGAAGCCAGCCTGGAGTACATACTGAGAATGTGCTTTAATGAACCAATGGGCCTTCCCACAGCAAGCCAGTTTCTGTCAGAAAGTGGGGCAGTGTCCAATTAAATAAAACAAAACAAAAAGCCGTGTCTTCAAACCTGTTCACCTGGTTTGGTTTTTTTTTTTCCCCCTTTCCCTGTGACATCAGTCCCCTCTGGCATCTCAGTGAAATGCTTCCTTCGGTGTGAAGCTCAGTCATGAACTTCTCTCAGCAGGCAGAAGGGGGGTGATATGAGAAGGAGACAGTCAGGAGGAGAATGAGTCATCTTGGAGAAATGGGCCTTGGCCTGCATGGGAGCTGCGGGCTGGGTCACTGGAATGTGTGACTGGTCATGGCAGCCTGGAGCTTGCTGTCTGTCATGTGCCAGTGTATTTGTGAGCTGCGTCCGTGACTCCAGCCTGCTGCCAGAGCCCTTGCCCAGCACGCACCAAGTCCCCGGGTCTGATTCAGGAAGAAGGACGGGCGGAAGAGTTGATTTCTGGAGAGCTCCATACTAATGAGCCACGAACCACGCAGGGCTGGGGGGCTGGGAAGAACCAGCAGCTAAATTAGGAGATTGAGAGAGCATTAGGCATGGGGGAGCAGAGAATTTGAGGGAGGCAAGTGCCAAGTGTGGGAGGACCAGAAGACAGAAGGGAAAGAAGATTCAAGAAGGTTTTCGGTCTGTTGTGAACATAATTCTCCTCTGCTGTTTTCTAACGAGACAGCAGAAAAAGAATTTTAGCATGGTTTTCAATGATTACGGG